AATAAGCAATAATGGCACCTTTCCTGGAATTTTTTTCTTGAAACCCATTGTTAGTATTTTTGAGATTTTTCAAGACAGTTTTGATAACATATGAATGTTGCCTATAGGAACTGCATTGTGAATATTTAGGACTCACCTTCCCCCTCATTGGGAAGTTGCCACTTAACATTTTGAAGAATGCAAAGAGGCAGTTGTAGAAGAAGCTGGTGTGTGTGTGTGTGTGTGTGTGTGTGTGTGTGTGTGTGTGTGTGTGTGTCTTAATCTAAAGACAGTAACTACTTCTCTCATTGTATAGTGATATCTCACAGTGATGACATGGTACCAATTTACAAAATTCATTTGTTTCTTTTTTAAAAATATTTTTATTGATTTTAGAGAGGAAGGAAGCGGGAAAGAGAGATAGAAACATCAATGATGAGAGAGAATCATAGATCGGCTACATCCTGCACGCCCCACACTGGGGATCGAGCCCACAACCTAGGCATGTGCCCAAACCGGGAATCGAACCAAGACCTCCTGGATCACAGGTCACCCACTGAACCATGTCAGCTAGGCCAGTTAACAAAATTCTTTATATAATTTTATACATAAAGTTCATTATATAATTTCGTTATATAATTTGATTCACAAAACGAAGCTAGACCACCAGGGATTGCCATCGCCATTCTGCAGGTATGGAAATTAGGAAACACAGTGGTTTGTTCATGCTCACACCGCTACCAAGTAGCAGAAAGGGGCTAGAACCTAGGTCTTTTGATCACAGAGTCAACGTTACTCTACCACAGTCTTTCTGGTTCAGCTCACTATTTTTCTCCCTGCTGCTGAATCATTTCACCACCAAAGAACCAGTCTCATGGAACCAGCCTCATTAGCATGTCATGCTTGGGGTTGCTATGCAATAAGGAACATAAAGCTCTGCTTCTAACCCTGATAGGTCACCTTTCAGGATTAGAGCTGTACTGGACCCAGACTGTCAGATGGCATCACAGCACTGGCTGATTTATGCTCAAATTCAATGACATCTATGGAACAGAACTGCAGGCAAACTGATAGTAGAGTCCTTGCTATGTTACCATATAAGGGACTCTAACATTGGCAGTACCTACCTACAGATTCACATTTACAGTTTCAACTGGTCATAAGCCTCTTTGGGATCACACTCACTTCTTCCAAAGATGAGCTGCCACTCTAAATTATGGCACTAAACATATAGCCCAAAGTCTTCTGTTCAGGGCCTATGACTATGAACTGTCTATGTATCAAGAATAACAATAAAGGCAGGCATCCTGAGCTACTTATTGGCCTCATATCGGCCAATATTTCTCAATCCAGCACTTCTGATATTTGGGGGGGGGGGGCCAAGGCTATCCTGTGCACTGTAGAATGTTTAGCAGCATTTAACTTCATTCTCTACCCACTAAATGCTAGTAGCAACCTCCCCCACTATGACAGCCAAAAATGTCTCCATACATTGGGGAAGCAAGATTGCCTCCAGTCAAGAGCCCCTGATATAGGGCCTTAATATATTGTACCAAATTCTCAAAAAGACCCTTGATTCCCAGTGTTGAAACTATTATGTGAAATCCCATATTACATTACATAATCTGATTCACAAGATAAAGCTAGACAACCAGGCTGGCCCACTACTCAAAGTTAAGGGAAAAGAAATAACTAAGAGAAAAACTATCTGAATGTGCAAAACTACAACTGAAGTTTGCAAACAACTATGTCAAGTTAACTGCTTACAAAGGGTGTTGTTTCATAGCTCTAAAGGCTTCAGATAAAGAAAATTAAATTGATCATATTCTTCAACCAATGGCATCATCAGCCCCTTCTCTTATATGTGTATTTGCAGGTATTCATGTATTTATTTTCTTTATCCCCATTTCTCATTCTCGGCCTCCTCACTCCTCAGTGGGATCTATCCTAATATACTTCACATGTATCTTTTTGTTTGTTAGTGTCCTTGTGCGATGTGTATCATTTTGAATATATTCTTCTTACTTAAATAAATAGAGGTCCACAATCACTTATTCACGTTTTTGAAACCTACAGAGTTCTGGACACCAAACATCTTTGCTTAAACTCAGCAGCAAAATCTAACTCAAGGGAGAGGAGATTATTTGCAGTCCTTACCCATTTAGTATAACCATCCCGACATGTTGCTGCACAAATGTTGTGTTTAATCATGAGATGCTGCCCCTTCCCTTTCTAAAATCCAAAATTTTTAAATTCCAAACCAAGTCTGACTCCACAGGGTTTATTATATACAGATCTTATTCTGTTTTTACCTTATATCTGTACCCAGTATTATGTTTTTAAGATCTATCCATGTTGCTGCATGTACAACCAGTCGTTACTATAGCTGCTGCAGAATATTCCAGGAAGTGGATCCCTCACATTTTACCTACTCACTGCCCCAGTGGTGGGCAACTACATGGCCTCCAGCACCCCACCACTCCAAACAGTGACTTACTGAACATCCTCACACATGTCTCTTTAGGAACCTGGATAAGAGTCTCTTTTGGGATACATTCCTAGGGTAGAACACTGGGCCCTCAGGTGTGCACATACTTAATCTGGCCAAGCTATATCAGAATGCCTTCCAACATAGCTGCATCAGTCTACTTGTTGCATTCTTGTTTTCATTTGCATATTTTTTTCTGATTATAATATATCTGAGCATCTCGTGATGCTGGTTGGCCTTTGGGGTTTCCTCTCTGTAAATCCTGCCCATAGGCTTTGACCATTTTCACTGGGATTTCTGTCTTTTTCTTTCTTATTTACAGGCGTTCCTGTGTACTTCCCTATTGGGTTGAGGCATTGCAAAATATCTTCTCCTAATCTGTCAGCTGTCTGTTAACTTTGTCCATGGTTAACAGGAAATCATGCTACAGAAATTCTTAATTTTTGTGTAATCAAATTTATTAGTATTTTTGCCTTATGGTTTGGGGCTTTGATGTTTTTTAAAAAATTTTCCCATTCTTGAGTGACAACATAGTCTCCTACATTTCCTTCTACTACTGTAGTAATTTTACTTTTCATATTTTTTCTTTAATCCACTTCCAAATGGCTTCACCTCTGTATTTTGTTTTAGGTTGGAGTCTAGTGTTATTTTTCACCACACATGGAGCACTTTCTACTAATAATCCACACTTCCCTCATTAATCTGTACCTCATACTAAATACCCAGACATATGAGTCCATTCTAGTTTCTCTACTTTTGTTTCAATAATTTATTTGGCAGAATATTCCATAATAGCACTAATAGTAGTTCTACTAGTGTTCTTTTGACAAACACTATTTTTATTACTATTGCTTTGAACTATGTTTTTATATTCCACATCTTTATGATTCCTTTACAAATTTAGCTTAGATTTTATCCATAGGCTTTTATTCTTATACTAGGGGCCCGGTGCACAAAATTCGTGCATGGAGGGGGGGGATCCCCTCAGCCCAGCCTGCACCCTCCCCAATCTGGGACTCCTTCGGGGCAGGGGGGCGGAGTGTCTGACAGCTGGTTTTGCCTCTTATTGCTCCCCCTGCTGGCCTGGTTGTCTCCAACTGCCCGCCCCCCCACTGGCCTGGTCACCCTCACATCCCCCATACCGGCCTGGTCACCCCATGCAGGCTGCTTGTTCAGTCATTTGGTCATCCCTCACTAAACCCCCTGCCGGCCTGGTTAGAGGCAGCCATCTTGTGAGGGAATAAGGGTTAATTTGCATATTACCTCTTTATTATATAGGACTAGAAGTCTGGTGCACAAAATTTGTACATGGGGGGGTGGTCCCTAGCCCGGCCTGCACCCTCTCCAATCTGGGACCCTTCAGGGGATGTCTGACAATCCGCTTAGGCCCAATCCCTGCTCTTATCATATACACTGCACCCTCTCGCAATCCTGGACCACTGGCTCCTAACCACTCGCCTGCCTGCCTGATTGCCCCTAACCCCTCTGCCTGCCTGCCTGATCACCCCTAACCACCTCTGCCTGCTGGCCTGATCACCCCCCTAACTGCCCTCCACAGCCAGCCTGATCACCCCTAACTGCTCTGCCTTGGCCCCCACCACCGTGGCTTTGTCTGGAACAATGTCTGGTCTAATTAGCATATTACCCTTTTATTAGTATAGATATTTTAGAATAGGTTTTTATTTAGTTCCTCAAAAAGTTTATCTGTAATTTGTATTGGGATTCCATTGAGTATATAAGTTAACTAAAGGAGACTATATATTGAGTTCTTTATATATTAAGATCTTTCACCCAAGGATATGGAATATATTTCCATTTCATTTAAGTCATTCTATGTCCTTGAATAGACTTTTAAATTTTCCTCCAAAGACTATTCTATACTTACACTAACTCATGTAATAAATACAACCCAAAAATATGAGTATTTTATTATCACCATTTTCCAGATGAGGAAACTGAGCCCAGAGTGATAACCTGCCCAATAACACACAGTAACAACACAAGTAACAAAACCTGGTTTCAAATAGTTTAGAATCCATACTCTTAACCACTGTATTCCCTCTCTTTCTACAGGCAGTTACTTTATATAGTTTGACTGTAACTGTGAGTAGTATCTTTTTCATTATTTATGTATTATCTGGTATATTATTATTATACTAGAGTCCTGATGTATGAAATTCGTGCAAGGGGCTCAACCCCACCCGCCGAGACAGCCGCCTCTGCCTGGGCCCCCGCCCACCGCAGCTTTGTCCAGAAGGTCGTCCAGAAGGATGTCCGGAAGGACATCTGGTTTAATTAGCATATTATGTTTTTATTATTATAGATTTTTTAATTGGTTGTTGTAGATGTAGAGAACTTAGTTGATTTTTGTAAGTTGATATTTGTATTCAGTGAAGTTGCTGAATTCTCTTATTAGTTCTACTATTGGCTTTATTGTTTCTGTTGCTTTTCTGTGCATCAACTGTAAATAATAAAAATTTGGTTTTTTCCTCTCCAATTTGTAAACCTCTCATGTCTTTTTCTTTCCTTATAGCATTGGCCAAGACTTCCAGTACAATGTCAGACACTATGTAGTGGTGATCATGGCTCCGATAATGCCTCATGTAGAGCATGTTTCATTTTATCTTGGCTATAGGATGTGCAGAGAACTGTTTCACAAAAGAACAGGTTAGAAACCGTGTCTGGTGGCCACGAATGCCTTCTGAGCAGAGAGGCCGGTCCTTACTCATGCCACAGAAATTACTTTCCATCAGAGTCGGCCTTCCAGGGGAGAAATAGCTCAACTGTGATAAACTTGACTTCTGACTTTAAGTATATTTAACTCCATCCTAAACCCTATGGCAACAACACAGCTCTGCACCTGTCATTTGCTTTACACAATCTGCTACATGTAATTGTTTCTGACAACACATTGGTCTCTATCCCCATGGGGGAGTTCAGACAGTAGCATTGGAAGGAGGCTTAGTGATCAAATATTGCTCTCCTTTACACACACCTAAAAGTCCCTAAGGTGGAAGCCTCATCATCTTCAAGCAAATGATCTGTTGGGGGGCAGGCGGGCGGGCTGATGCCAACAACAGAGAGAGCTTGAATCAGACCAGGGTCTAATATAGCTTTCTCCTAATTGGCTTCATCACCCCATCTTCAGAGAGGTTGGCCCAGCCAAGTGTTCATGGTAGCATCTCAGGGCTTACAGTGATCTCATCTACCCCGACGCCAATGGAGACCCAGAGGAGAGGAAGAAGAAACACCCACTCTTCTCTCCTGTATTCCTGAAGGCTTATCCCTATCCAAGACTGGTGAATCTGCAAAGTGGTGGTCACCAACGGCTCCACAGAGAAGTCCTGGGACCTTAGTGCAGTATGACCCTTCAGAAGCCTTGAGTGGTTGACCAAACACACCCTTCCCTTTCATAGACACCCAGGGTGACTAATGCTTGGGTAGAAATGAGTGAACTGAAAAGTCCCACAGGAATCTCAAACCCAGCACATCCAAAATGGAACTTCTCACTGTCGCCTCCAAACTCACTCCCCTCTTCCAGGAACCCCTGTGCAGGACCTGGAACAACCTCCATTCAATATTCTCAGTGTCTGTCTGGCCCTTATACCTGAGGAGTTACCCAGCGTTAGCCTCTCTCTGTCCACCCTGTTCTCCATTCTAAATGGGGCCTTGGCCACACCCTCCCAACTGCTCCCTCCGCTCCACTCCTGGGATCCATCCTCCATGCTACTGCTGGAGAAATCTCTGCACCATGCAAATCAGACCATATATCCTGCCTAACACTCTAGAACAGCGGTGGCCAACCTTTCGGACCTCACGGACCACCAGTTGGCGACCACTGCTCTAGAAGGCTCCCACAACCCTCAGCAGAATGTACACTCCTTTTTGTGGCATCTACCAATCTCATGGCACAGCCTCATCATCCTGTCCAGTCTCCCACCCTGGCCGCGGGGCCCCTAGATAGCCACTTGCCCTCCCCTCCCTGACTGTGCTTCTGGTGACTGTTCCCCCTACCTAGAACCTGCCTCCCGTTCCACTGGAAGTGGTCTAAGGCCTATTCATGCTTCAACACTCAGGTTGGGGGGGTTGAGGGGGGGAGATGGGGAGGAGGAGTTGAGGGGGGACCTCTGCTCTTGGGAGCCTTTGCTGCTGCTTCACCCCCATTGCTCCTGCTTGAGGTGCCCGCTCTCTGGGCTTCTCCTCCCAGGAGCTGAGCATCCATCCCACTACATCGTCACGATTCCCTCCTGGACTCTGTAAGAATCTGGATTCTTGAAAACATTAAGTTATTACATAGTCTGGTTTCATCCCTTTTCCTGTTTAAGATAGTGCCCATGGGCAAAACACATTGAGTCAGATTCGGTCTGGCAGTGCCCCAAAGGGATGTGTTCACCGCTAGGTGTTCCGCTCCGGGCACAATGTCCGCTTGGCACATGTAGACCATAAGAATGGATAGATGGGTGGGTGGACGGACGGACAAATGAACTAACAGACGAATAAATCAATTGCCCAACCCCATCCTGAACCTGGCGGCCGGGTGGACGCTATCAGGGCACATCCTCACTATACTAGATAAAAAGTGGGCAGCACCACTAGGCGCTCCGTCGGCAGGGGGCGCTGCAGGGCGGAGGGGTGAGGGCTGGGTACTGGGATTTGGGCGGGCCGGGACGGAGGCGGTGGGGCCGTCCCGACCGACTGCGGCCGGGGCCCGGGGGAGTTAATCCGAAAGCGCCGCCAGCCCCGCGGGCCCAACTCCACGTGTCACCGAGAAGCTGAGGTAGAGACAGAGAGAGAGAAAGCAAGTGATCTGAGTCGGGGAAAGTCCTGCGCGCCTCCGGGCAATTATAAAAATGTGACCCCCCGGACGGCTTCCAAACCACCGCCCTCACCTGCTGCGCCCAGTGGTCCGCCGGCTGCTGCTCCGTGTCCGCGCCCGCCCAGCATGCGGCCCCCGCGCAGTGAGTACCCGGCGGCCGAGACACGGGCTCGGGTGGGGAGGGGCGGAGCCGGGCAAGAGGAGGCAGAACCTCCGTACCGCTCACCGGGAGGCTGCAAACAATCAGCCGTTTCTAGTTAGGGGAGAACGAAGGGAGGGGGCGGGAGACCTAATTGCTTGCTTTCCATGCGCTGAAAGGGACATGGCTCTTTTGGTCTTGAAACAACCCCTTGAGCTAAGTATTGTTATGCCCACTTCCCAAGTGACAAACGGAGGCCCCAGGGGTGGCTTCTTTCTTTCTTTCTTTTTTAAAATATATTTTTATTGATTTCAGAGAGAAAGGGAGAGGGAGAGAAACGTCAATGATGAGACAGAATCATTGATCGGCTGCCTCCTGCACTCACCCTACTGGGGATCCAGCCCACAACCCCGGCATGTGCCCAACCAGGAATGGAACCCTGATCTCCTAGTTCATAGGTCAATGCTCAACCACTGAGCCGCACAGGCCGGGCCGGTTTCTTGCCCAGGGTCCCTCAGCTACAGCTCTAAGAGGGCAGATCCCAGCCCACGGCACACGGAGGCTTTGTCACCCCACTGTTTCCAAAACACTGGGTCGTGAGTCTGGGCCAGTCACTTCACCACCTGGCCTCAGTTTCCCACTAGTGAAGTGGAGACGTTTTCTGGTTGAGGTTTGAGTCAATATCCTTGTCTGAGCTCATTGGGGTTCCTTGCAGAAAATTGGTTTCTCAGCTTAGAATCGAGCACTGCCTTTCAGGGACCTGATGCATCTCTTAGGTGTTTCAGGAAGATTCCAGGGTGGGAGGAGGTTGGCGTCTAGCAGAGGTAGATGGGTGGAGACAACCAGCACCAATGGAAGGGAGAGGCAGGCCAAGTCAGGGAGACACCCTCAGCTGCCTCCCCGTTCCCTTCCAGGCCTCCTCCTGGCAGTTTCTCTGGTCCTCCTGCACCACCTCAGTTTGGACAGGAACCTCCCCACCACAGCCACGGCAGGCCCTGGCATGTTCTCCTGCCTCAGCCACTCCCAGAACCTGCTGAAGGCCGTCAGCAGCACGCTTCACAAGGTGAGCTTTTCCACGTCCTTGCTCCCACTCTGCAAGCCTCTCTAGGGCAGGGGCCTCTCTAAACCCCGGGTCACCTGCAGGGAAATGGTGGGCGTTTGTCAGGGGCTGTCAAGAGAGGAAGAGGGGCCTTTACAAATGGCCCGACTATTAGCTAAAGAGTCTCAATGAAATTGTGTCTCCAGAGAAAGCAGGAGTGGTAATAAATTATAATGGCATCCCTTTGGGCTGTGCCTACACAGAGGAAAGTGGATATTTACCGTGTTCCCTATAGCCTGCCAGCAGAGATGGAATGAATTGTGCCGGGCCCACACTGTTGCTCTGACACACTTATCAATCCAGCAAACCGTTATTAGGTGCAGCCTCCATGCTCCGGGGGCCACGGAGATGAATTAGACTTGCCCCTCATGCTGCTAGCCAGCTTCTCAGTCTGGTGACTCCGTTCGTTGTCAGAGCAACGCGTTTCGGAGAGCTGCGACAGTGCACGCCCAGCCTTTATTTTCTAGGGAGAGAATTATCTCATTTTGTTTACAGCTTCATTCATTTTTTAGGTTTCCTATGTTAATGCCAAAAAAAAAATTTTTTTTTTCTTTTAAAAGTGCTCCAGGAGCTATTGTTTTTGCTGTGACGGCCAGAGACGGATGTTTTCAAAGACATCCTTTTGCCGTCCTGCTCTCTAGTAAATCTTTCTTGAATATTTTTAGCTTGTTGTTTTACGAGTATCTTAAAATAAGCTCAATGCCACGGGGCCTTCTGAAAGAACTCTTTTCCCCCTTATCTTTCATGATGCGCTGCCAACTGCTCTGTACGGTTCAATCGATCTTAATTAAGAAGGCGGCTCACCGGAGGAGCACTGCTGAGATAAGTGCTGTGGCTCCTGGAGAACAGTTCAATATGGATAAAATGTAGGAGCTCCAATTTAAACAGAAGCTTTCTATGAAAAGGCTGGCTCTTTCCCAGACGTCGCACTAAAGGTCAAGGGATTGCAGAACTCGGTCTGATGTTTTTTACATCACTCCTGTGTCACATTGGCCAAGAACAGGTGGCCAGTGCCTGCCATCCGCAGGCCGTATCCAGCACACAGATGCATAGAGTTTGGCCCATGTCTTTCAGATTTTATTCAGATTTATTTAGTTTGATGCTATTGAAAAAAAAAAAGTGGTCTTTTCATAAAAGAAACCAAATTTCCAACTCCTCTTGAAAAGATCCGAAGAACTATAACAGCGGGCCCACGTTTCCAAACCTAACTTTAGACAACCCGCTCAGGCCAGTGGCTGCCCGGGTCTGTGTGAGCATCTCTAGGAAGAGTGTATTCATTTTCTTTGGCTACTGGAACAAATCGCCATGAACTTAGTGGCTTGAACCAACAGAAATGTATTATCTGACAGCCCTGGAGGTCAGAAATCCAAAACGGGTCTCGCTGGGCTAAAATCAAAGTGTCAGCCATGCTGTAACCCTTCCTGGAGACGAGGGAGATTATTTTTTCTTGCCTTTTCCAGTTTCTAGAGGCTGTTGAGGTCCCTGGGTATGTGTCCCCCTTCTATCTTCAAAGCCAGCAATGGCCAGTTGAGTCTTTCTCATGCTGCATCACTCTGACCTTGACTTTTCTGCCTCCCTCTTCCACTTCTCATCGGGCCGCCCAGATAATCCAAGATAACCTCTCTGTCGTAAGGCCAGCTGATTAGCAACCTTAATTTCATCTGCAACCTTAATTCCCCTTTGCCATGTAACAACATATTCTCAGGTTTCAGGGGTTGGGAGGTGGATCTGTTGGGTGGTGTGTGTCGGGGGCATTATTCTGCCCAGCGCAGATGGGGATTTTACTGTCTGTTCCCAAACATGTTCTGAACTCTCAAGCTTTGATTCATGGCTCATGTAGTTCCCTCTGCCTGAAATTCCCCCTCCTCTGCCGGCTAACATTCTAATCTTCCTATTGCAGATGTGCCATCTCTGGCGTAGTCTTTGCTTCCCTTTCCACCTCCTCCTCAGAGCCTTCTCAGCTCTTCTCTCTTGCTGACCAGTCTCCTAGTCATGTGGGCACTTGCCTATCCCCTTGGATAAACTTGGAATCCTGGGGACAGAACATAGGCCTCCTCTCTGTCATGTTCCGTAGTGCCTAGCACAGTGCCTGGCACACACCAGGCTTATGGAGTGGGAAAATGATCTCGTCTTCAATCAAAAAGTCAACTTCTTAAGAAAATTTCATTATTATATTCAACAATGCTTTCCAAGGTGCTTGTAGGATGACGTGTGTGTGTGTGTGTGTGTGTGTGTGTGCATACCACAAATTAAATCTCAATTTGTCTTTAGGGTTGCATGTTTGTTATATCCATCACGTTGTGACCTTAACAGTTCCCCTTTAGAAGTTATAATTGAACAAGATATTCATAAAACACAGGCGCTTTGGCAGAAGCAGAAAACGCCTTCACCAGGAGCAAGTGTCACAGCATGGCGGAGATTCTGATTAGCAAGGCCCGTTGAAATGATTTATGATGTTTACACAATGGAAAAGCCTGTCATCCAGGGAAACACGTCCGAAAAGCAGAGGGAGAGAGAGAGTGTAAATGACCTGTTTCCTTTTGTCTTCTGAAGACCCTGAATTTCTTACAGGTCAAAGGAATAATAGGTGTTTTGCTGGCACCCAGGGTATGGGGAGCCAGGTACCATATTAATATTATAAACTGGGTTTCTCCTTATGACTTTTACAGGCCAGACAAACATTGAAATATTACTCCTGCACTTCTGAAAAGATTGATCATGAAGATATCACAAAAGATAAAACCAGCACCGTAGAAGCCTGCCTACCACTGGAATTAACCACGGTATGGACAACATCCCTCCCAAAGCACATCATGCAATTAAAAGCTGTGCATCAAACTTCATCTTCTTACAAAAATGTGCATGTTTCTGGTCTCTACCATCCTGAAACTTTAAGAGATCCCCCTTCAAAGTTAGATTTGAGAAAAATTTATAAAAACAGATATGGTTTTTCACAATGTGAATATATTTAACACCACTGAACTGGACACTTAAAATAGTTAAGATGGTACTTTTTGTTAGGCGAACGTGATGACCACTACACTATGGAAACGGGCTTAAGATGGTACTTTTTGTTAGTTATTTTTAACCACAATTTTAAAAAAACATATCTTTGAGAGGAAAAGTCAGAAAATTTTATATTAAGAATTAATATCTTTGATGTGTGATTTTTTTTCCCCTCTAAAATGAGAATTGCCTGGTTTCCAGAGAGATCGCTTTCATAACTATAAGTCAGAAAACTAAAGGTTTCAACTCATTTTATGAATTTATATCATTGATTGATGTCTGATTATTTTTTCTTCTAGAATGGGAGTTGCCTGGCCTCCAGAACAGCCTCTTTTATGACGGTGAGACACGGAACTTTTTCCTCAAATATGATGGGCAGGGAGGGGGAGGAAAACACTTCTAGCTCATCTCAATGGTTTCTTCCCCATGTTGTCATATCACCCAGACCCTGTGCCTCAGTAGTATCTATGAAGACTTGAAGATGTACCAGGTGGAGTTCAAGGCCATAAATGAAAAGCTTTTGATGGATCCTAAGAGGCAGATCATTCTGGATCAAAACATGTTGGCAGCTATTGATGAGCTGATGCAGGTAAGGCCTTCATCCAATCAGTGAGAGCACCTTGCTCATGCCTAGACAGCCCATCAGAGTCCCAGATGAAGACGTATACAGTCAGCCCTTCCTGGACTGGAAGAGGCCTGAAATGCCCCCTCCTAAAACCCCTACGGAGTTATAGCCTTGAGGGTGTCCTCTAGAGCAGCGATCGCCAACTGGTGGCCCGCAGACCACTGGTGGTCCGTGAGGTCCGAAAGGTTGGCGACCGCTGCTCTAGAGCAGCGGTCGGCAAACTCATTAGTCAACAGAGCCAAATATCAACAGTAGAACGATTGAAATTTCTTTTGAGAGCCAAATTTTTTAAACTTAAACTATATAGGTAGGTACATTGTTATTAACTTAATTAGGATACTCCTAAGGCTTAGGAAGAGCCACATTCAAGGGGCCAAAGAGCCTCATGTGGCTCGCGAGCCACAGTTTGCCAACTACGGCTCTAGAGAAAGAGCAGACACAAGCAGGACACATTTAGAAAAGCAGGCACCCATTTGTTGACCAAGTGGTGTGCACCGGGCTCTCTGCGAATGTTTTCACACATTTTCTTAATGTCGTCCCCACAGCAACCACATGAGTTCTGTACAAAGGAGGAAACCGAAGCTTAGACAGCCACTTGTCCAAGGGCAGACAGCTTCCAAATGGCAGAGCCAGGGCTTAAGCCCCCAGCAAAGGGATTGCACTACCCTTCTTGCTCACTTCTAAAGGCTCCAGGCCCGCCTACACATCTGCACATTTAACCAGAGAAAACAAGCAGAGCTAGTGCCTGGGTCTGACCCATTCGGAACCAAAGTATGAATGAAATAAAAGAATGGCCTGTCACCTGGGGAGAGCCACAATGTTACTCAGAGACAAGAACTTGGTTTATAGTTTCTAAGTCATCATAGCACATAATGCTAATACAAAACATAGAAATCCTATATAATAAAAGGGTAATATGCAAATCGACCAAACGGTAGAACGACTGGTCGCTATGACACACACTGACCACCAGGGGGCAGCCACTGAACACAGGAGCTTCCCCCTGGTCGTCAGTGCACTCCCACAGGGCTCACGGCTGGCAAGCACAGCAGTGGTGTTGGTAGCCTCCCCAGCCTCTGCAGCAGCGCTAAGGAAGCTTGGGCCCACTCCCCATAGGGAGGGGGCCTGAGCCATCAGTCGGACATCCCCGGAGGGTACCTGGACTGTGACAGGTGGCAGGCCGGGCTGAGGTACCCCACCCTCCACCCTTGACCCCCCGAGTGCACAAATCTCATGCACCAGGCCTCTAGTATTCACATAAGAAACAACAAGGTCAATGCTTTGGTGACCAGGCATGGGATAAAAATATTAGAAATCATTGTCTGAAAAGGAATCTTTCTCTCTTTCTTTCATTCACCAAATTACTTGTTCAATAGGCACTGAACATCATATAGCATCAAAGAATCTTACCATCTACAGAATTATAGATAAAAATTTCATGTTCAGGACAAAGAGGTGATTTGGGTACTGGAGTCATTTCTACCAGTAATCAGACAACTATGCCAAAGCCATTGGTACCTCTGTGCCTCAGTTTCTCCTTATGTAAAATGGGAGGACTTTGACCCACCCTACCTTTCTTTTAGGCTTTTTGTGAGAATAACTGAGATTACAGATCATTGTGCAAACATATGACTTATCAAATCAAAGGGTTAAACCTGGGAAGTCCATTGCCAGGTTTATTTATCTAACACAAATGAGTTTCTGAAGTAAACACCTTGGTACCGATAGAGAGTTTTGATTAATAGCAATCCATCACCTCCCTGTTCTAAAAAAGACTTCAGCCCTAGCTGGTTTGGCTCAGTGAATAGAGCGTTGGCCTGCAGGCTAAAGGCTCCCAGATTCGATTCCAGACAAAAGCACATGCCCGAATGTGGACTCGATCCCCAGTAGGGGGTGTGCAGTAAACAGCTGATCAATGATTCTCTCTCATCATTGCTTTTTCTATCTCTCTCCCTCACTCTTCCTCTCTGAAGTCAAGAAAAATATATTTTTTAAAATGCTGATGGCATTTGAAACCGCTTTCAGGGTCTCTTCCAAACTCAATGAAGATACATGTGCTTGGATCATGAGAATTTCTTCTTTCAGGCTCTGCCTGGCCATCTGGCTGGGAGAGTGGATTGGGTTTAGGAGATGTAATGAGGGGGTGGGTTGCAGGCTCTGAGACACGTGTCGGCTTCCCCCATGTTTATGGGTGAATGCTTCAATTTTGGAATACCATGTATGCCATGCTCATTATCCGTCCTCCTAGGCCCTGGATTTCAACAGTGCGGCTGTGCCTCAGCAACCCGCCCTGGAAGAACTGGATCCTTACAAGATGAAAGTCAAGCTCTGCATCCTCCTTCACGCTTTCAGAGTCCGCGCAGTGACTATCAACAGGATGATGAGCTATCTGAATTCTTCCTAAAAAGGCTCAGGTCTCGCCCAACCTTAAAGTCATTTGAATCAAAGCGATTTCTATAGGCTGTGCGGGAGGTGGTGGCTTGACCTGGTCCTACTTAAGCTAGTAATTTTCTTGTTGTTTACATTAGTCAACCACCCAAAAGTTGAACATGTAACTACTTTACTTAAATGGGTCCTTTCCTCGCGTGTATTCCACATTGACTAGGGATAAGTTGTTTTTAAAGTTTTCATAAGCAAATTGCTAAAGGGGGAAGTTTTCTTCACTGTGTGATTTTTAGAAAAACAGGAATTTATAAGCTACTTCTATATCAAAGTGTTTGTTGAAACACTCAAGCATAATTTATTTTAAAATATTTATTTTTATAAGGGTGTGTTCGTGAAGGCATGTGAGCTAACTTGTATTTATTTATGTCATATTTATTAAAATATTTATTTTCAAATGGATTTGAGAAATACCTGATGTTCTAAAAATAAGATGATGGAATTAAAGTAATTTTCATATTTCTCTAATGTAATTGGAGTACTTTCAGTGTTAAGAAATACACGTTGTGGGGAAACGGAAAACACTGATGGAATCTGAACAGAATTACCTTGGAAAGATTGTGGCAATGCTCTTACCCATTTCCTAATGACTTTAATCACCTACTTTAAGGGAGCCTGGTTAGGCCAGAGACATTTTAATGCTGAAGTCCTCAAGTGAGTCACTTTATTTTTATTCACCATCTGAATCTGAAACACAGGAGCATGTTTTTCCCTGCTAGCCACAGCTCTGTAACATACTGTGCACTAGACAAATACATAATAATACCCTCCAACTGGGAGAAGCATCATTAAGAGGCCTTCTAGTTAAATTATTCTAATTTTCATGACCCTTTGGGCCCGCAGGGGGAAGCTGTTTCTAAATTACAATGAGAAAAATTCTCCATTTGCTTTAAATTATATAGAACGTCTGCCTGAACCACATGGATAATTGCCTTGCTTTGGCTTAAGAGAGGTGCTCTTAATGACCCAAGTATTAAATTCCATCTTGTTAATTCTCTAAACCATGTGAATTTTAAAAGATGCACCTGATGGAGTCACATCATTTTAGTACTCTGATAATCATATTGTGCCCTTGGGAACAAACTATTCAGAGTACCCCCCCTCCCCTCACCCTGGCCCCCTCTGCCCCGCTATCATGTGAACCCTCCCACCAGATCCCAATTCAGATCCCTGTGAACAGCGAGGGAAATGTGTTTGGCCAACACATGTCCTCATCTGTGTGGCAAATCCCTCGTTTTTCAGATTCTCGCCCCATTTGATAGAAATCGGTGAAGCTAGACCCTATCACATACCTTCTTTTCTTTAGAGATTCCTCCATAAACTGGAATGACCCACGAGTGACCCGCAGACAGGAGTCTCCCAAATTCATAAGCCCGTGGATTTAAACAATCCACCGTTTGGGACGATGTGGTTACTATCCTTCGGAAACCACGTGCCAGCAGGCCACACGGGTGAACTGGGACATGATCGCTTCCCGTGGCAGATGTGTTAGAAACAAACTCCCGGACGTCATTGAGAGATGCTAGTAGCCATCTCAACGGCTGGTGCCCACACCGCCCGACGAGAGTAGGTCAGGCTCGGCAGGGCTCCCTAGTAACCCCTCAGCAGCCCCCGGTAGTGCCCCCGGCCACAGCAGCACCACTTTTGAATGCTTGGCCCAGTGCAGGGTCCGGGTGAGATTTCCCTTCACAATCGGCCTCTACAGCCAAGGAGAAGTTCCACACTCACTGAACTCCTCCAAGCTCCTCCCTGCCATTAGGTTTTCTTAAGGAACAAAACCATCCTTTCGATTTTTCAACTCCCTTGACAATAAAACACGGCTGTCACTGCAGAGCGGGGCCCTGTCTATAGGTGGGGCTCAGGCCAGAGGTCACAGCGAGCAGCAAGGATGGGCTTCCACGGAAGGACGATGGCCGGCCACCTGCAGGCTGTCCCACTGGGAGAGACTGTGATGGACACCATGGTGGGGACAGACTGGATCTCAGTCCCTGGGAGGCCCCACCGCACATCGGGAGGTCTCAGTGGAGAAGCAGGAAGAACTTTGGGACCTGAGCTCAGAATTCAACCCCGGGCCTCTATTTTAGTGCCAGCAGCCACAGGGCCATTGTCAGACATGCTCACACTGAATGGAAAAGAGCAATGCCAGCAGCCACGTCCAGGCTGCCCGGCTGGGACCTGCCCTTGAGCCAGCAGCGCTCTGCTTCACACAAGGCCTTGTGACAGCTGCTGGAACCACCGCCTCCTGACAGCACATTTCGACATTGGCAACTACAGTGGCTTCTTTAGACAACGGAGTGAAAGTGTGCTTCCACATGACAAAGCCGGGGAGGAAACTTTTGCCCTAAAGCAGTACAGTGAAATAACATGAGTTCCAAATGCAGAACAATCCCTTAGAGAGCTGCAGAGGTGAGGGACTCATCCAGATCCACCTGGTTTCAAATAAAAGCACATCTTCCCATGGCCAGGAGTGAAGGGGAAGCTCTAAAGCAGCGTTTCTCAACCTGTGGGTCGCCAACCCTTTGGGGGTCAAACGACCCTTTCACAGGGATCGCCTAAGACCATCGGAAAACACATATATAATTACATATTGTTTTTGTGATTAATCACTATGCTTTAATTATGTTCAATTTGTAATCATGAAAATACATCCTGTATATCAGATATTTACATTACAATTCATAACAGTAGCAAAATTAGTTATGAAAATAATTTTATGGTTGGGGGGTCACCACAACATGAGGAACTGTATTAAAGGGTCGCGGCATTAGGAAGGTTGAGAACCACTGCTCTACAGCATCCCTGGAGCCCTGACCGGTTTGGTTCAGTGGACAGAGCGTTGGCCTGTGGACTGAGGGCCCCAGCTTTGATTCCGGTCAAGGGCATGTACCTTGGTTGCGGGCACCTCCCCAGTAGGGGGTGTGCAAGAGGAGCTGATCGATGTTTCTCTCTCATGGATGTTTCTAACTCTCTATCCCTCTCCCTCTCTATAAAAAATCAATAAAATATATTTTTTAAAAATCATTTTAAAAAAATTAAAGTATCCTTGGAGAGAGACCTGTGCAAACTCTGGGTGCAATAGGTCAAGGGGGTTGGGAGGAGGTGGGTACACTCACTCAGCCTCTGTCCAAGACCTGGACCGCTGGGTGCAAGACCAGCCAACATCCAGTCACAGTAATAGCAACCGAGGAGCACGATGCTATGAGAAACCACGTGTAAGTAAGAACATAAGGGAGCCCCGTGTGCACTGTACACATACATGTACGTTTATTTTTCTTCCCTTCATCCATAGTATGAAAAAGGTTGAAAATGGCTAGGAAACCAGCTGATATACAAAGCACCTCTGCAATTATGCTTTTCTTGGAAAAACAACTTATAAAAAAAAATAATAAACATTTAAAAAATTCAAGTCCTTTTAAGTAGTTTACACTTCTGAATGTTAAAACTCCACGTGTTTCCTAAAATATAGTACAATTTTTTTTAAATAAACAAAACTCATTAAAGTGACACTGATTTGAATTCCACAGGATCCCGGACAGTTAAAAATGTTATTCCCTATAAAGTAAATTTGTTCTTCACAGGCAAAACAATAAAGTGTGTGTCTCTGCTTAATTCATTGAGATTCATTTTAACGCTCCAGCTAATGAGGGCAGAAGACTAATCGTAATTTATAGTGTCTTCAAATAAGTTAACAAAACATATCCGATAGGCTAATCACCACAGGCATGATTCTGGAAGAGCGACAACACCTATGCGTACAAAACACAAACAAACACTTCCCCAATTATCAAGAGCCAATGTGACCCATTATCCCCAAGGGCGCGTCTTCTTCAAGAAGAGATGACC